GATATAAAAAAAAATGCTGTATTGATATTTTTTCCAAAGGAAATCTCACAAGATTTTGTAAGAGCATGGTGAGATCTCGCAAGATTTAGTTCTATTTGCAACGGTTCAGCATGTAGAAAAGTCCCCACATTAGCACTTAAATCTATGTGCAGTCTGCAAAATATTGTTAAAGGAATAGTTCACCCACAGATTGATTTAACTTTATTTTCCACTTACCTTCATGGTGAGCAAATATTTCAAATGCAGCCGGAGTTTAGGACGACTTCTCGTTTTACCCCAACTTTCATATAATCGAGTTCGATTGAGCCCGAGCCAACAAGGTCCTTAGAAGTCCACAAAAACTTGTTAATATTCCTCCATACTGCTCGTCCAATGTAATCCAAATGTCCTGAGTGGGTACCGTCCAGAATTTACTCGAAACGACGTCATTTACGATATTTTTAGAGCCTAAAAAGAATATATTACTCCACGGAGCGCTCACCTGCGCATTCACGAAACTACGGAAGCCTCGGCGTTCAGAGCCTTTGCTGCCGATAATACACTGTTTACATTGTGTTAAGAGCAACAGAGCAGCAGACGAACCGGGACAAACACAAGAGGAGTTGGATATTGATTTAAAACAAATAATGAAAGAAAAAGGGACCGCGCGATCTCATCTGCCTCGCCTTCCGTAGTTTCATGAACGCACATTGGCGTGCGCGCAAGAGATGCAATGTACTTCTATTTAGGCTCTAAAAATATACTAAATGGCGTAGTTTTTAGTAAATTATGGACACTACCCACTTTGGACACTTGGATTACATTAGACGAGCAGTATGGAGGAATATGAACAAGTTTTGTGGACTTGTGGAAAACGAGTAGTCGTCCTGATCCCCAGCTGCATTTGAAATATTAAAAAAGTGTTCCAGAGTCTTGCTCACCATGAAGGTCAGCGGAAAATAAATCGTTCTGTGGGTAAACTATTCCTCTGAAGGTAACTTTAAGACCTTCCCTCACAAATGAGTCATTTTGAGTCTGTTGATTCAGAAAGTGTATTTACAGTTATTGAGTTCTGGAAGGTATGTCTTTACACAGTACCCTGTCTGAATGTAGGAATTAGCTTCTTAATAGTCTCGAGAGATGCCACAAAGCACAATGAAGAAATTCAAGAGATCTCTCTGTTTGACAAGTTCTTGCCAAATATGATGGCACAAATTTTAAAGGTTATTAATGTTTAGTTTATGATGCTAAATTGTTCGTGATTGTAATGCACTGACTAAAATGTTTATTTTACATATGATACATTAAAAAGAAGCACTGTGCTCTTTGTTTTACTGTTTTGCTCATTTTATATGAATTGC